TCCTCCTCCCCTGCCATCTGCTTATGCCCCACCTTCATACCCTTCATCCTCACCATACTATCCTCCAGGTAATTTTGTTTAACGTTTGCTTATTTCTTGGCACCAAGATTCATCTAAGCTAAACAAGTACTTAATTCCGTTTTGCTGCTTTTCAATCAGGTCATTTCTACCCTGGACCCTATCCACCTCCACCATACAAAGGTTGAGCTCTGGACAAATGCAGGATAATAAACAATGCTAGATCCTTGAGCTATGAATTGTATAGAATGTAGTCCATATTAGCTGCCAAATTTAGGCTTTCATTACTATTTTTTTTCTGTGTTGTTGATTTTTTAATGGTATATGTTAGTTTCTGAAGTCGTTAGTTCACTTAATCGATTTTGTTTCTTTTCTTTTTTTCATTTTTCCATTTTTATGCGCTAAAGCCACAAAGAAAACTACATGCTTGTATATGTGATGGAGTTGGTTCTTGAATCCAATCATCTTTGAGGGGAGTGTACCCCAACTGCTCAGACAAATCTATTAACTCTTTACTAGAGAAATTCATTTCTTTAGATATATAGATGTTTCTAATGCAATCTACCCCTAAGCGGATTGAAGAAATGAATCATGTAACCCTAACATGAATAACATACAACTTCATACAAGCCCCCAAGGCCTTTTTCAGGAGTGATTGGGTTTGTTGATGACTTAGAGCACGTTCGGTTGATGATACCAGCTATTACTTGGTCAAACTATAAAAACAAATTAAATTTGAAAAACATTTTTAGGAAGGTAGAAATAGTTAAACCTTAAGTTGATAATTGATGACAAAAAACCCCTCTAGTTTCCTTGTTTTAAACCCTCAAAAAGCAACCGTAAAACAAACTCATATTTACTAGAGCTTTTGAGTAGTTGAAGGAGCTTGACATGCACTTTGCCTTGTTTCTTACCATATTTATATGTCAAGAAAGAGACGCGTTGATTTACATCAGGGACTTCCAATGGACTTAATTTGGGATTAGATAACAATAGTATGTTTGGGTTAAGGGGAATAGAGAGGAGGAAAGGGACAAAATTCTTTATTTAGTTATTAAAAAAATTAGAGGAAAGAGAATGAGAAAATTTTTCTTTACTTTATTTTTGTTTCTTTTAATTTAATTATTTTTTCAAATGAAAGGAAGGGAGAAAAGGGGAATGGAAGCAAATGGAGAGATATAATTCTCCTTTCCTTCCTTATTCTCCTTTTTTTTTTTTTATTCTTCCTTTGATTCTCTTCAACCTAAATATAAGATAAGGTCCGATCCAAACATTGAACAATAGGTCTCCTTAGGGTTCCACTTGGCTCTATAGCTCTATAGGAAGGTGGTGCAATTTGGTTATCATGGAAAGATGAACGAAATATGATCCGATCCTGACTTGGAACCCGTTGTTAAATTTACGATCCGTTTCGTATAGTTTTGATTATGTGTTTTGGGTTTTCATTTTGAATATATTTAATAATTATTATTATATTTAAAAATCAAAATTTATTATAAAAATTTTAATTAATTAAATTTAATTAAATTTTATAAAATTAAGATTTTTATTATATTTCACGTATTTAATGGTCGTGATTAGATATTTTTATATTTTTAATACCAAAATGTTTTAATTTTTTCTTTTCTCTTTTTTTGAATATTTTTTGATTCATTAATTATTTTTTT